CACATAGCTTGAGCACATTTTCCTCAGCCATACTCCCCCATCATTGCTTCTTTTGGAGCCAGCAAACCATGGTCTGAAACTGTGAGACAAATAAACTTCTTCCAAGTTGTGGGTGTTGGGTATTGTGTCCCAGCAACAGGAAAGTAAGACAAAGGGTGGATCTGCATTATGCCTCAATAAATCTGATTTTAAAAAAGATGTACAGTAAGTCTTTGACTTACGAACATCTGTGCAGCGAACTTTCACAGATAGGAACAGAACTCATACTACAAACATTTGTAGATGTGAACAAATCACGGAAGCTCATGTGCCTGCCAGACACTGTCACAGCTGTGCTGCTGTGTGCTCGCTGTACAATGAGATAGTGCACCACAGTGCAGTTTTAAGAGTTCAGGATGTCTGGAAGCAAGAGGATGTGGAAGGGACTCCTAGGAAGTGCAAAGAAATATACATTATGTATTTGTGTCAAAGGTGTGTAAGACTCTTTTGGACTTACAAATGAATCTGACTCGAACATTCCTCTAGAACAGAACTAGTTGGTAAGTTGGGGACTTACTGTATCAGGGTTCTCTGGTGAAACAGAACCACAGGATAGACATACACATATCAGAGGGTGTTTATTATGGGAACTGACTCATATAAGTATATAGGCCAAGAAGTTCTATGGTGTGCTCCAGCTGGAGAACCAGGAAAAAGCTGGAGAACCAAGAAAGCTAATAATATAATTCAGTCTGGAGTCTGAAGGCCTGAGACGGGAGGCAAAGATGTAACTCAGCCTAAGGCCAAAATTCTGAGAATCTGGGGGCCACTGATATGAATCTTGTAAGGTTTCTAATTTCTGAGGGCAGAAAATGGACATTCTGCATCCAAAAGAGAGAGAATATTTGCCTTTTTGTTCTGTCGGGGCCCTGGATAGACTGGATGGAGTCAACTCACATTGGTGGTGGTGAATATTCTTTAGTATGCTGATTCATATGTTAAATTCTTTCACAAACACGGATGCACCCAGAATTCATATTTTACCAGTTTATGAGTAATCTTTAACCCAGTGAAGCTGACACACAAATTTAATCATAGAGATAAAAAATTTTCTTAGCTTGTACTCCTTAGGAAAGGGGCTAATAGAGCATTGAAATATTGATATTTTCAGGTGTTCAAACAAGTGACAGAAAGCATGAGGAAGAGAAGCCAAGCAGAAGAAAATATGAAGCAAGCTGAACTGTCACTGTTCCACAGTGAGTTATGTGTTCTCATAATAGGTGGATCTACACATCTTGAAGCATTACCCCAGACTTCCACAAAAATAGTCTCTCAGAGCAGTACATAGAAAAAGAAAAACCAAAAAACATGCTGGTTATCCACGTCATTGTGTGGATGTCAGGAGAGCTAATGTGTCTCCTTGCCCCCCTGCTGTATCTTGTTTCCCACTAGTTATAAATTTGCTACTGCAAGGACTGACCCCCTGGGAAGCTACCTTCTCTTACTTCTGAGCTGTCCCCTTCAGCAGCTGGTTAAGATGCCAGATCTCATGCCCTGCTGTGTGGCATTTCATCTAGCTGTGCAAGTGGAAGTGGGACTGGAATCTTCAGATAAGAATGCACTGATCAGCCTAGCTTCGTGGTTATTACAAAAGGATATGCTCAGCACTCTGCATGCATTTGGTTTATGGCCTTAGAGGCAGAACTGGGCAGGTTCAAAATGAGTGTAAAGGTACAGGTAGCTACAAACATAAGCCCCATGATGACCCTTTTACTTGAGAGAAGAACTCAATTCATTTGAGGAGTAAATAGGATTAAATTTAGATACAGGTGGTATAAAATAAGAAAATAACTGTAGGTGAGAAAACACAGCTAAGCATTGCAGACAGCAAGACAAAGACTGATCACGGTTTTCTTCATCTTCTAAATGAATCTCAATGGAACAGAACTGAATTAATTAGTATCACAGATCATGAACACTATCTTCATTACTCTATGCATAATCTTAATTATATTTGAAGTTTATTTGATATAATTGGCATGTAATTAACAACACATTTAAGGTATAGAATTTGGTATATTTTCAAACGTTTATTCATCCATAAATCCAACAATTAATATACCCATGGTATTAATTTCCAAGGGTTGCTTTAATAAAGTACTACAAAGTAGGTATAACAGAAATTTACTGTCCAACAATTCTGAAAACTAAAAGGCCAAAATCAGGTGTCAGCAATGTTGATGTCTTCTCAGGGCTCTGAGGATGATTCTGCTCCATGCCTCTGTCCTAGCTTCTAGTGAGGGCCTGCAAACTTGGTATTCCATGGCTTATAGATGTATTACTCCAATTTCCAATTCATTCTTCATTTGGCATTTTCTTTGGCTCTTTGTGTTTTCATGTGATCTCTTTTTACAGGATGCCAGTAATCTTGGAAAAGGGCACATACTAATGACCTGATCTTAACTTGATGAAGTTTGCAAAGACCCTACTTCCTATGCATGATAACCACCACTCCCCCAAATGTCCTCAGGCTTGTTTTTCTCTGTTCAGATGATCTCCCCATGATCAGGTAACTAATATTTGCTTTAATTACAATTCATGTTTCCTAGAATTTTATAAAATTGGAAACATATAACCTATACAGTTATCCCTTTCCATACCTGGAGGGTTGGTCTAACAATCCTCTACCTCCACCTCCTACAGATATCTATACTTGTGAATGTTCATGTCCCTTATATAAAATGGCCTAGTATTTATATAACCTACACACATCCTCTTGTATACTTTATATCATCTCTACTTATACCAATACCTAACAATGTAAATGTTATATAAAAAGACTATATATGTTCAGCACAGGCTCTACATACACATGAGCACACACACACATACATGTATTTTTTGGTGGTACTGGGGATCAAATACAGGGTCTTGGACATGGTTGGGACAGCTATACTCTCAACTTCCTTCAAACATTATCAGTCCAAGATTGGTTGAATTCACAGATGTGGAATAGCTACCGAGTGACAACTGTACTTTTACTGTTTGTGAAGTCTAGCTTCCTCAGTATGATTATTTATGAGATTTATTTCTGTTGCATAAATTCACTTTTTATTGCTGAAAAGCATTAAATTATATATA